CCGACTATATGCTATATATATATATATATATACTATTTTTCGGGGAGCATAGAAAATTCAAAATTTTTTCAACATTCAAGATAGATAACTTTGTCCAAAGTCATTGAACCATGGCCAAATTCAAACTTGAAACTGTATCTATATGACAAATTTGAGATGAATGTGTACAACCATTGGGAAGATAATGAACAAAAACTAAAAATTTCTGATTTTTTTCAAAGTTCAAGAGGGATCACTCTGTCAGCTATCATCAAACCATGACCAAATTCGACCTTGACCAGTGTTTACTCATGACATGTCCATGTTGAACATGTACAACTGTTGGGGAGATAATGAACGGAAACTGAAAATTTCCCTTTTTTTTAAAAGTACGGAAACTGAAAATTTCCCTTTTTTTTCAAAGTAAAAGGGGCATTACTCTGCCAAAAATCATTGAACCATGACCAAATTCTAACTTGACCTGCGCATTCCTTTGACATATCCATAGATCAAATTTGAGTTGAATGTGGAAACTGAAAATTTCATATTATTTTCAAAGTGAAAGGGGCATTACTCTGCCAAAAATCATCGAACCATGCCCAAATTCGAACTTGACCTGCGCATTCCTTTGACATATCCATAGGTCAAATTTGAGTTGAATGTGGAAACTGAAAATTTCATATTATTTTCAAAGTGAAAGGGGCATTACTCTGCCAAAAATCATCGAACCATGACCAAATTCGAACTTGACCTGCGCATTCCTTTGTGGCGCAAAGCCATATGTGAATAATATATTGAGTTGAATGTGTAAATCTGTTGGGGAGGTAATGAACGGAAACTGAAAATTTCATATTATTTTCAAAGTGAAAGGGGCATTACTCTGCAAAAAATCATCGAACCATGACCAAATTCGAACTTGACCTGCTCATTTCTTTGACATATCAACGTGTCATTACCCGTCCGTACATTTTCCATGAGTTTCCATGAAAACTTCCGGAATTTTCATGGAAATTGCCAACTCTGGATAATTCGGACTGGTTTCCGGAGTTGTTCAAAGAAAACTGAAAAAAAAATCGCGAAATTTCATGTACTTTCTCCATGAATTTCCAGAGCTTTTTTCATGAAAGTTTTCCGGAGTTTTCCATGAAAATGTTCCAGAGTTTTCAAAGCAACTCTGGAAATTGTTCTGCTAAAATGACATTCTACTCCGGAAAAAATGTTCCGGAGTTACTCTGGAAAATGTTCCGGAGTTACTCTGGAAAATGTTCCGGAGTCACTCTGGAAAATGTTCTGCAGCCGCTGTGGAAAAAGTTCCGCAGTTAAAAATAGGATATGGGGTAAGATGCCATTAGCCTTGAAATAATTCTGGAAATACTATGGAATTCACTCTGGAACATTTTAGGATTACTGAAATGATGGTTGCATAATAAAATCAAATGACCTTTCAATTTGCATTTAATATGTTTTTATTAGCAAATCCAAAAAAGCACCCTAGTCATCAAGAATTCAAACACATATAGTAATTTGCACATTTCACATTTGTTTCTAAGTCAGAGTGTTTTATTCAAACAAATGTAATTTAACATCCATCTATAACACATGATCCTTCACTTCACATGATGCAACATCTTCTTGACTTGTGGTTTGACCTCTCTGATAGATACTGAAAAATATGAATTAATTGTATATAAATACATGTACTTGTGTTATATGCACAATGTCAATATAATTAGTATTGTTTAAACAGGATTGATAAAAAACATAAAAGGGTGAAAAAAGTTAAGATGGAAAACTTTCAATTCAATGATTTTTGCAGAATATCAGCACAGAGTTATCAAGTAAATACCATGCTTTGATGAGAAAATTTTTTTTGGTCAAAATCAACATTATGATAAACTTGTGTCAATTATTTCCCTGCTTTTCCTACAGCTATGTAATGACAACTTTATGTAATGGCAGTTTAAATTACTCAATGATCTTCACAAGTACTTAATTACCAATGAAAGTTTGAGATGTGTTATATTGGAGTCAGAATAGAGATGTGTTCAGTGGAGTCAGTATAACAATAATATATGCATAAACCATGAAGAACAACATTTTGTTCAGTGTTTGGAAAATAGCATGCATTTATATGAAAACATTTTACTTCGACTTTTTTCAACAAAACAAACTAAATTATTACCAGGATAGTTCTGTAAGCATTCTGTATTCAACAGTACATTTATCACTTTTCCCTCATCTGATGTCCTTTGAGCTGAAACATCTCATGTGACTCCAAGATTTGAAAGTTTGCAACCTAATATGTTGAAAAAATAAACATTATGTACATAAGTAACAAGAAATTACAATTAAGGCATATGAATTTTATTAAATGTGAATTTGGAAATTCATTGCTTGATATGGAATCTGTTTCAATCACAAATATTTTGAATGGAAAATTATAATCTCTGATTTAAAATTTCCCGCCATTATTTAAAAATGAAAAAGATTTTCTTAACTATTAATATTGTAAAGTTACATGTATGTAGAAATACAATCACTAAAGCAAAGAAAATTTGAAAAAACTAAAATAATAAGTGTTAAAAAATAAAAATACATTTGTACTTACTGTTAGAAATGGTTATATATACAGTGATATACATGTAGTTCCCTCCATTTTCACTGAATCATGAAATACACATGTTTAAAAGTTCATATTTCCAGAAAACTTTTGTAAATTTGTCCAGTTTAAACTCATTTGATCTAATATCCAATGCTCAAACATAATTTTTCAAGTTATAACTTTTAAGCAGTTAGTCACTTTTCAATGCTTTCTGTTCAAATGACCCGCCTGGAAGGAGTGTTCTGACCTGTGATTTGTTCTGCAAGGGTATTAAGTTACTTGGGAACTACAGTGTAATATAGTATGTTGTAAACCTGCTTTACCTCTTTCTATTCTCTTATATCAGATAGGTGAGTTTAACTTTGGTGTTTATGAAAACAGTGGGTTACACTTGAGGGGTCATAAATATTTACATTGTGGCTGATGCTGATTTGAATGTTCCAGAAATTTATCACTATACATAAGTTACTTCTACATGGGATGAATATATAGATAAAATATATACTTCAATAAAGATACATACTAAATTTATCATCAATTAATAAAGAAACATAAGTGTATAACAATTACATTTAACTTGTTTCTCTTTAATTGTGTATTTATTTTTTCTAACTGAGGGTAATATATAATAATGAACCACTCAGATCTGAGGCTTGATATGAGAGACCTTGAAAATAATGAGAGTTAAATGAAAAAATACCTTAATGCATTTTTAATGCCAAAGTGTGGCAATGGAGTTGCATGTGTTTTTTTATTAGCTTTTTTTTGCAATAAAAAAAGAAGCAGTTGAGCTCTTGAAGGGCTTCTTAAAATTTCATTTTGTTTAACTATAAGTGTTTATTTTGCTAACTGCTACTTTTAATTACAATGAGTACACATGTATGACCAATCTCAATGCTAAGTAATTAAATTCATTTCTTCTTGCTGTTTCAACAATTTACAGTTGTGTCAATGCCATATTTTAAATTGTCTTTATTTTCATAATGTCTTAAAAGCAGAAAACTGTCTTATATTAAAAAGATTATTTATGACTACTTAGGAAAAAATATTTAAGTTAAATGTATTAAGTGAAGTATATGTAAATGCAGAAATAAAATGAAAATTTCCTAAGTCCAAAACTTTCTCAAAAATGACTAAGTGTTTTCCAGAGTAAAACTCCTTGAAAATTGTCTAAGTGTTAACTTTCCAGAGTTTCCAGAACTGTTTCATGGTTATTTCTTTGATGAAAAAGTCAAGTTCCAGAGTTCTCCATGAAAATTGTTCCAGAGTACTCTGTAAATACTGTGGAAAAAAGCTTGTTTCCATGAAAATTCATGGAAATTCATGGAAAATCAGTTATTTTCCAGAGTTTTTCCAGAAAGACTGTGGAAAATCTACAGACGGGAAATTTGAGTTGAATGTGTACAACTGTTGGGGAGATAATGAAAGGAAACTGAAAATTTTATCTGCCAAAAACCATCGAACCATTACCAAATTTGAACTTGACCTGTATTTTCTCATGATATATCCATATGTCAAATTTGAGTTGAATGTGTGCAACTGTTACTAAGATAATGAATGGAAACTGATGATGAAGGAATGACAGAAAGACGGAACCGGGTAACACTATATGCCCCAGCCATTTTATGGAGGGGGCATAACTAGACCTATCACTGAAGGTGATTAATACCCCCACCAGCAACTTTGACTTTTTGAAAAATAAGTAGTCTGAACTCAACCTATAGTAAATGAAGTATCAAATGTGCACAAAGAATTATTTCAATTAATTGTAATCTCAACCAGGATCTTCATACATCAAGTTTGATTACAATATCTCATTCCTAACTCTAGTTATTGTCCAGAAACCATTTTTCTATTTTTAGTAATGGTGACCTTGACCCCAGGGAGTCCAAATGTGATACCAACCGGGGACTTCACATAAGCTAGCTATATATCAAATTTGATTACAGTACCTCATTCCAAACTCTAGTTATTCTTTGGATACCATGAAGTGGATTGACCGTCAGACGGATGGACCGACCGACAAGCTGACTTCTATATAACCACATATACCCACCCCCTTAACTTCGTTTCTGGGGGAATAATTAAAATGATTTGCAAAATCTCTATATGGCCCTTTATCAACAATACAAATGTGATCAAACAAGCTTTTGCACTATATGATGGAATGACAGATGTCTGGACTGACAGAGGACATTGAGTGGTGGTGAGCAAAGATTATTTCCCTCTCACTTCCACCTATGTAATTAAAGAGCAAATTATTTTGTGTCACAATATCCAGTAATTGATACAGTCAGTTTAAATTTAGACCTCTGAAAAAGAAAATATATATATAATATACATATATATATTATAAAGAACAGTAACTGGTCTAATTGTTAGAAAATATCAGGCTGCCCAAGCCGTGTAAAAGTGTTACCAAATTAATCACCTCATCCATGTGCTCCTGGTATGAGCCTGGTCTCCGTGCTATCAGAGGATCCAAGCATAACAAAAACAGCATGTACACTAACAGGAGTGATGTCACACATATTATAATGATCACTACAACCTGTAACATAACAAAAGTATGGTATGAACAAAAAGGTTTCGAAAATATGTTAGAAGAGTTGTGAAAGAAGACCTAAGGTGCTCCTTTATGCATTATGTCATGCACAATCTGAGGGCACATGAGTAGAAACACAGACCTTCTAAAAGCTAGCAGGATAGCTTCCTCACATACTTTCATACCTCAATATATACTTCCCTACCTGATAAATGTTTGTATTAAAGACAAGAATTTGTAACTGAGTTACCAACGTCCCCCGCCTCGGGAAGTTTTATATGAAGCATAAAATTGTGCTATTTCAAAAGATTGAGGTTATAATGGATCTCAGGACATTCAGTCCAAAATTATGATCAATGCTAGATCTGCAAATGTAACAATAAATTTGTTAAAAAATAAAATAAAATGAAACACGGAATTTAAAAATCTATCATGTTAAGCTTTGACCTCTAAGTGTGACCTTGACCTTGGAGGTAGGGGAGCAGGTGTTGTGCATGACATAATGTCTTATTATTGAGACTATTTGTGCCAAGTATTTTCAAAATCCCTTGAACTATGAAGAAGTTATAGATTGGACACAAAATATACCCTATAACAGACTATGTAAATCTTTGACTTCTAAGTGTGACCTTGACCTTGGAGGTAGGGACACAGATGTTACGCATGACATATCATCTAATCATTGTGACTATTTGTGCCAAGTATTTTCAAAATCCCTTAATCTATGAAGAAGTAATGGACGGGACACAAAATATACCAAATAACAGACTCTGTTAACCTTTGACCTGTAAGTGTGACCTTGACCTTGGAGGTAGGGGTGCAGGTGTTGTACTTGACATATTGTCTTATTATTGTGACTATTTTGTGCCAGGTTATTTCAAAACCTCTTGAACTATGAAGAAGTTCTAGATCCGACACAAAATATACCCTACAACAGACTATGTTAATTTTTGACCCCTAAGTGTGACCTTGACCTTGGAGGTAGGGATGCAGGTGTTGCGCATGACACATCCTCTTATTATAGTGACTATTTGTGTGAAGTATTTTCAAAATCCTTTGATCTATGAAAAAGTTATGGACCGGACACAAAATATACCCTGTAACAGACTATGTAAGTATTTGACCTCCAAGTGTATTTGACCTCCAAGTGTGATCTTGACCTTGGAGGAAGGTGACCGGTTTTTGCGCTTGACACATCATCTGATTATTGTTAACAATTATGGCAAGTATTTACAAAATTCCTTCATAGATAAGAAAGTTATGGACCAGACACGACATAAACCCTCAAATAGACAATGTTGACTTTGAATGAGCAAGTACGACCTTGACCCTGGAGGTAGGGGTCTGGTTGTTGCGCATGACACATCGTCTTATTATAACAAACATTTGTGCCAAGTTATTTCAAATTCCTTTGATAAATGACAAAGTTATGGACCGGACACGAAATATACCATGTAACAGACTATGTTAATATTTGACCTCCAAGTGTGACCTTGACCTTGAAGGTAGGCGACTGGTTTTTGCGCATGACACATCGTCTGATAATTGTGAACAATTATGGCAAGTATTTACAAAATCCCTTCATAGATAAGAAAGTTATGGACCGGACACGACATATACCCTCAAATAGGCAATGTTGACCTTGAATGAGCAAGTACGACCTTGACCCTGAAGGGACAGGTCTGGTTGTTGCGCATGACACATCGTCTTATTATAACAAACATTTGTGCCAAGTTATTTCAAATTCCTTTCATAAATGACAAAGTTATGGACCGGACACGAAATATACCCTGTTACAGACTATGCTTATATTTGACCTCCAAGTGTGACCTTGACCTTGAAGGTAGGTGACCGGTTTTTGCGCATGTCACATCATCTGATTATTGTGAACAATTATGGCAAGTATTTACAAAATCCCTTCATAGATAAGAAAGTTATGGACCAGACACGACATATACCCTCAAATAGGCATTATGTTGAATGAGCAAGTGCGATCTTGACCCTGTAGTAGGGGTCTTGTTTTTGCGCATGACACATCGTCTTATTATAATAAACATTTGTGCCAAGTTATTTCAAATTCCTTTCATAAATGACAAAGTTATGGACCAGACACGAAAGTGTGAAGGACAGACGGACGGATGGACAGACGGACGGACATACCAACTTTTGATGTTTATGAGGCAAATCAGCTCATAAACAACACCTGGACCAACGTCCATAAGCAAAATAAGCTCATAAAAACAAAAAAATAGTTCTTATTTTGAATTTTATGAGTTTTTGTTCTTTATTTAACTATGGAATGAAGCTCATAATAATCAAATGTTTGCTCGGACAGACGGACGGACAGACAGACGGACGGAGCCTATTTCTATATCCCCCTTTTTTCTTCGAAAAGGCGGGGGACAATAAGAGCCATGTTAATATGGCCATCCCCTGCCGAATGTGATTGCTCATTGGAAGAATGTATAATTATTAGTGATGTTCCGATTGTCGCAAGTCGCCAATAATCAGTTTCTGTTATGTAAAGCGACAATAATCGATTCACAAAAATTTGTTCCGCGATGTCGTGGAAAATGTTTAAAGTATCAAAGGGAATTAATTCTGGCGGTAATTTTCTTTTAGGAACACCTCACCGATCGCAAAAAAAAAATCATCTCAGAGACAATTTGGAGTTGAACAGGCTCAATAAGTGATGTAAACAATAGTAATATAATGTGATGTGAATGTTATTATTTTACATCCATTGAAAAATAAAATTTATTTCGTAAAATTATGACTATATAAGTTTAAAACTGTGTTGAAAAGTACTAATTGAAGTTTATGTTACTGAATATAATCAAGTGCCAAGAAATGTTACTTCCCTATTTCTTTTTAACGCGACTTTATTCGAAAAGTTATCGATTATGTCCCATCCGACTGAACCGATGATCGATTGGGACAAATTTCATCCGATTTCCATCACTAATAATTATGTAGTACAGCAAAATAATTCAATTTTAAGAGGTCTTTTGGTAATGAAAAATGATGGCTGAAGTGATTACAGATTTGAAACCTATGTGAATACTGATGGCTGAAAATAACAAAGGGCAACAAGCAAATTCGTTGAATTTATATCCCCCTGCCAAATACTGGTTATTACTAACACAACAACTGAAGACATAAGGCTTTATTTATATATTAATCATGGCATAAACAGTAATATTCTTAGTACATAATAAATATTCTGGGAAATAACAGAGCCTTAATTAACTTGGTGTTAAATAGTAATATCTGGACATGGCAATGAGATGTAAATTTCCTTTTTGTATCTATGGTTCCCATAAAGTTTTGTTGAAATCAATACAGCAGTTGCAAAGAAATAGCAATATTGCTCTATATGTATACTACATAACTAATCAAGGGCCATAACTCTGTAATGAAGGGTCTGGTCTGAACAAGGCAACAAAGTATGCACATCTCATTTTGGTATTAATGGTTCCTATAAAGTTTAATTGAATTCCAGCAAGTAGTTGCAGAGAAGTAGCTCTATATGCATACTGCATAACTAATCAAGGGCCATAACTCCGAGTTAGTGTCTGACCAGAACAAGGAGATGATATGCCCATCTCCTCTTGGTTTTGAAGGTTCCATAAAGTTTGCCCTATTTGCATACTGCATAACTAATCAAGGGCCATAACTCTGAGTTAAAGTGTCTGACAGGAACAAGGCGACTATATGCACATCTCCTCTAAGTATTGAAGGTTCCTGTGGGGTATAGATATAAGCTTCGCGTTGTGTCTTGTTTCTATCTTTTTAATATCTCAATAATATATACAAGTAAAGCGGTAGTGACGTTGGTATAAACGTTGTCGTCATCTTGATTCCCGCCATCAATACGTCGTTGTTGTTCCCGCCTACACATAGCGTACGTCTTCCCGACATTCTCCCGGCCACGAAATGATTACGATGTAGAAATGAGTTCTAATGGGTACAGTTTCACAATAGGTCTCGAAGTGACAAGTCCATTACTCGTGCCTAAAATTGCTGCTCGTGTGAGGCCATCATTACCGTAAATTAACTGCTGGATTACGCCTAGTTTCCACTGCGTTCTTGGTGATTCATCATAAATCTGTACAACGTCGCCAACCTGAACTGTCTGAGTGTTGTTTCCTGTTGTTTTGTGGTACTGACGCAGTAACGTAAGATATTCGTGACGCCATCGTAAACGATAATGACTGATAAGTTGTGCCTGCATTCTTGCCCTTTTTGTTACATCAGACATTGTAACATTCTGTGGTTCTGGTGTGTATTGCCATTATATGGAAGGGATGTAATACGACGTCCATAAAGCAGGTGCGCCGGTGTTAATGGGTCCGGGTCTCCTATATCGGAAGTGACGTAAGTAAGCGGTCTGTCGTTCATTATACCCTCAATCTCTGTTACTATTGTCTGGAGGCTCTCGTAACTAATAAATGAACGACCTAAAACTTTCTTGATGGTGGTTTTTGTTAGTCCAATAAGTCGCTCCCACCAACCGCCAAACCATGGTGCTCGCTTAGGTATGAATCTCCATTCAGTACCATGGCTGTGTAGAGCGTCATTAACTGCCGTTGATCTCATGAGTTGTTGAATAGTATTTGCTGCTGCGTTAAATGTTGTTGCGTTGTCTGATATCATTATATGGGGTAGGGATTTTCGACTAGTAAATCTTCTAAACGCTTGGATGAAGGTTTCCTCTGATAAATCTGGTACCAGCTCGAGATGGACGGCTCTTGTTGAAGCGCACGTAAATAGACAAATATAAGCCTTATGCTCAATTCTAGAATTGCTTCGTACATACAGTGCTCCCGAGAAATCAACCCCGGTGACTGTAAATGGAGATGTATCTTGTACTCTAATTTTTGGTAGGGGTGGTGGATCTGGTGCTGTATATGGTTTGCCTGTTACCATTCGACATTGAACGCATTTCCGGAGAAGGCTTTGTATATACTGACGGATAGATGGTATCCAGTATCTCTGTCGTAAAT